AGAGACCAAGTCCTGCAGAAGCTGATCGTGGCGGACACAGTCAAAGGCTCGTGACAGGTCACGATGGTGACGATGGCTTCGTATTCGCCCAACTGATGACTTAAGTAGGCACTGAGGAATCTGATCTCAAGCACACCTCCGGCTCCGTCTGATTGCCGTGCTATGTTAATCAACTCCTTTTGAAAATCTGACGCTGACCGATTACGACGCTTGAGATCATGAATTTGCAACTTAAGACGACTGGGTTAATATTAGTATGGGCTATAACCGGTTCAATAATACTCAGTGCGTAAGGACTGAGGATTTCAGACTCCCGTCATTAATCAGTAGGGGGATTCGACTCCTGCTGACTGTATTTACTCATTTAAAAAAAGGTTGCCTGAAAAAGTTATTAATATTAAAATTACAAAAACGTCTGTAACAAATTTTATTAGGTAAAGCACGTGCATAAGAACCCATTTGTTAGACGGTTGACCTTGCACATATCCCCGTGTCCTGGTCGTACCATAAACTCTACCTCAAACCGTGACCCCAACACTGACCCTAACCTTATCACTCGTCCTATTCCCAGAAATTAGCACAAGGCTCTCGCGATAAGGGGGTTCCTATGCCAGTGTCTTGCCCTACATGCTTGTCCCTTTGCAGACTTTAATGTTTCGGCGTTAAGGAAGACATGCAACGCCCTTTTCTGACATGTTAATGTACATTATTTTCCAGTCGCAAAGGCACTAGTACCAGACCTGTGTTTTCGTCAGTTTTCTGGCTTTTTGTCCTCATATTTTTACTCATTTCTATTACGCAGCTGTTCATTTCGTTTTCTCCTTTTGAAAAAGTGACGGTGGCTGCACCAGTGGTTGTTTGTCAATCGCAGTCAATGAATAAAAGTTCAGTTTCTTTGGTCGCCACAACTGAAGTGATTTCTTTGCAAGAGGCGCACACGGATACCCAGCACATAGCCCCCGCGACAACCGACATGACATCTGCTGCCCCCAGTAGCAGTAACGTGGAGGACCCCATCAACGATGGCACCGATGTCATGGCCGATATTGTGGCCGACCTCGCCTGTCGTGTCTGTGGTCGCCTTATCACTAATCATCCCGACCCTACTGGTGGTTACAACGGCAACGGCGGGAGCAACAATGCGATGATTGAGTGCTCTCTTTGTCACGGCCTCTACCACCAACTCTGCCACACCCCACCCCTTCTTGGCCGTTTGCCCACGGCCAGCTTGAGTACGTGGACTTGTTCCACTTGTTCTGCCCTAACTCATCAGCCTGAAAAGGCATTAATCTCTCCAGAGTCGCCTGTGGTGTCGTCTATATTCTCGCCTATTCCTGTTACTCCAAATCCTTCCGTTTCCCGCCGAAAACGGCAATCCCCTGATGTAATTCCGTCCCCGAGACAACAACGAAAGTAGTGGCAGTTTTATCGTTCTGTTTTTGTTCAATCGGCAATCTTTCTAACTCAGAGAACCAAGAAAGTAAATATTTAGGAATATATTTCAGTGGGAGCCATATAGTATATTTTAAGATTAAATTAAATGTGAGTATGATAAGCCTCTGAATTTATTCTTTTAAATAATGTTCTTACCATACTCATTGTCAATGCGACTTCTGCTACTGCATGGATTCGCTAGTCTGGTTTGTAGTTGGTGAGGTTAAGCTTCATGCAAGCGTTTAGGATTTTCATCCGTTAGGCGTGATCGTATGGTGGGCTTGATCTATCTAAGATGTGAGAATGACTGCTCACATGCATAAGTAGATCCAAGCAGGGTCAATACAGCAATACTCGCACGCTGCAGTGTGTGGTATGTGACCGGAAGCGTGTTCCAAGTTTTGATTCAGCTTGTCTTCGGGTTGAAGTTTTTAATCTCTCTCCGCATGTGCTTGCTTGCCAACTCCGCTATATGTCGTTTGATTCTTTCCAAATCTTCTTTGAGTTACTTGAACTTACTTACCCACATGTCTGAGGCCTTCAGGTCAGCCAATTCTTCTTCGAAATCTCTAA